GCAAGTTGCTACGAGCTTGTTGTCATCAAATTGTAAACCACTTCTTACGTGCAGACGATATCAGACTTGTTCGAAGAACTTATTGCGAGCGTGATGGCTTCATCAACTTTGTTACAAGATAACAACTTGGTCCAGACTTGCCAACAACTGGGAACAAGCGGTGCGAACACATCTTGTTGACAAGCTGTGAGATTTTTGCGCGCGTACACATGTAAAAATCTCACATCATTTTGAAAAGTTGTTGACGGAACATCCAGGCCCGGAGCTAGGGGGGGGGGGGGGGGGGGGGGGGTTGGGTGTGACACCTCCCCCAGTAATTGTATTCAGTCGGCAGGACTGCTATTCAGTCGGTAGGACTGCTATTCAGTCGGTAGAACTGCTATTTGGGTTAAATATTTTTGGCGCAAAGGGCAAGAACGTGGTGGGAATTTTAGGAAAATTTTTAGGAAAAATGTAAAAATTTTGGAAAAATGTAAAAAAATGTTGAAAATTAGTGATGTGCGGAAAATTTTTGAATGTTCCGGAAAATTTTTGTACGTCCGGAAAAATTTTTGGAGCCCTAAAATGGTACACTGACCGAAATTTTTTTGGCGACGGGGGGGCCGGGGGGGGAGGTCGACAAAAAATTTTTGATCCGGAAAATTTTTTTTGAACCAGTCGGTTGAATTGACCTTATTACACCCCCCCTGAAGAATTTCCTGAGGACGGCCCTGGCTACGCGTCGTGTTTTATATGTGATAAAACACTCCTACGCGTGCTTTAAACAGTTCTTAATACATAAACCATAAGAGAGGCTGAAAGATATAATATGCTGATTTTTTGAAAAGTTGCCTTTTCGTCTTTAATTTAATTATAGAGAGTAGAAGTCTTTTTCTAACGGTTAAAACATTTAAAGGCCGGCGCACACTAGAGCTATGTGCTTAGCAAAATGTCATTCGTGACTGTTGGCGTAAGGAGATATCTCTCGTGTGCGGGCGATTTACGAACGACTTTTGTCATTCGTGCCACTTACGCCAAATATCTAACATGTTTGATAATTTCTGCCTCGCGTGCCAAAATCTTTCCGTGTGCGGCGGACGAAAGCTATCTGCTTACGGATTGTCGTAACAGCGCATGCG